TCTCCTGCGTCTGCCGGCCCAACGGCCACCGACGCCGTCTGCCAGACTGGGGTCTCGCTCAGTGGCGGCGGCAGAGGAACGGCAGATGCGCAGGCGCCCTGCCGAGCCCCAGGGCCGAGCGGGCTCCGCTGACCAGCTGCTTCCAATCTCAGCTTGGCCCCCGCAGCTTGTGTGACATCAGGCCAGATCCCTGGGGCTGCCGTCATAAAGTCCTTAAAACAGCAGCAATTTACTCTTTTTGGAGAAGTAAACAATCGTGAAGGCCGGAAGTCTGAGATCGAGGTGTCTGAGGCCTGCGCTCCCTTCAGAGGCTGCAGAGGAGGGCCCGTCCTGCCCCTGCCAGCTTCTGGTGTGGCCAGGGGCCTTGGCATCCTTGGCCTGTAAGTGCCCAGCTCTGATCACTGCCTCGTCTCCATGTGGCCCCTCTTTTACGAGGACGCCTACCGTGCCATCTGGGGCGTCCTACATGACCTCCCATGACCTCATCCATTTGCAAAGACTCTTTCCCAATAAGGCCCTGTCTTCACTTCAGCGTCTCTTTTGAGAAGCACAGCACAATCCCCAACACTCACCAAGCAGCTATTGGGCGCCAACTGTGTGCCTTGCCCTCTGTCCTCAGGGAGGAGGGGCTGAGGGACCATGACGGTGAGTGACCAAGCTCCGAGAAGGAAGCGCAGCAGGGTGACTCCACTAGAGGTGGGGTGTGGGCACGGCTAGGAGGGAAGGAGAGACAGGACCAGGGTGGGGTGGGGAGGCTGACAAAGCTGGGGATTTCTTCTGAGGCAGGCACCTGGCTCAATCACTGTATTTAATAATTTTACTCATTCATTCATTCACTCGTAGAGATACACCTCGAAGACCACAAAATGCATAAAATTCAGGGGTTTTTAGAATATTCGCAGTTCCGCCATCATCCACACAGCCTAATCCCCAGGACACTGGGGCCCTCGCTCCCCATTTCCCCAGCCCCCGGCGACCTGTATTTGAGAATTTACATTTCCTCAATGTCAAATTTACAAAACCACGTATATTCAGAAAATGTCCATCTTCTGTCCAGTGCCTTACCGGTTTCCTTCTGCTCTACCCATCTGCTTTATTCTAACACAGAACGGAGGCATCCAGGTATCAGTGTTCACTGCCCACCCTCCCTCCCCTGGCCGCCCTCCTGACTCCCTGCGCCCCATGCTGCAGCTGGGGGCAGGGGCATGGAGGGCCAGGCCCTGTGGTTCCCTGCAGATTCTCTGAAGGCTCGCTGTCAGAGACACCTGTTCCCACTGGGAGCTGGTCCCCACTGCGCAGGTGAGAGGGGCCCCAGGGCTGCTCTCAGATGCACTTTTCTTGTTTTGAGCAGGTTCAGCGGCCTTTCACGGCCATCAGAGGCTGGTTTATTTGCGCTTCTTTTTGTGAACTGTGCATACCTGTCACTTGTTTTTCTATGGAACTTTTGGTCTTCATGCTGTTTTTTGAAGTTCTTTATAGACACACTTCAACTCTGTGATACAGATTTCCATTCTGATGGCCATTTGTCTTTCCCTCCTCATGGAATTTTTATGCTGTGCACAGCAGATGTACTAGCTGGCTGTACACATCCAGGTTTTCAAGGAAGTCATCCGTTTTCAACTGATCCTTGTATAGTTTCATCTTTTACATGTAGACCCTGATCCCTTTGGAATTCACCCTGGGTTACAGCATGAGAAAGGGTTCCTGGTTCATCTGCTGTGGGGCTGAAAGGTCTGGCTTGGCCCCGTGACTTCGTGAGGGGCACCTCACCTTAAACTGAAGTTCCTCCCTCTGTGCTTGGGTCTGTTTCGGGGCCTTTTAGTCTGTCTCACTGGCCTGTCCACTGTGTTTGACTCAGAGGTCTACAGTGTGTTGTAACGCCTTGGGCGGGGGAGGCTAGTCCCATCTCCCTGCTATTTTTGCTCGTTTGTTCCAAATGACCTTGCCTAGCTTGAGTTATGACGAAGCAGGCCGGGCAGCATTTCCACGGGGTGCGTTAAATGCAGACGCGAGCAGGGAGAATGGCTGTTGTTCGTCTTTATGGACGGTGAGCAGTGCTGTCTGAGGACATGAGGTGTTCACGGCTTCTGTGCCTTCCAGAAGTGTGTTCCCCGTTTCCTCACATAGGTCGGCACAGGCCCCGGACTTCCTGCCACGCTGTTCCCTGAGCTCTCTGTGTGGGTGGAAACGGGGTCTTCCTGCCGTTATGGCTCCTCGGAGTGGCTTTTGTCTGTATATACAAGAGCTGTTGATTTTGTTTTTAAGGTAAGCTTTCCTGGGTGCACTTGATGGATGCCCCATAAGGTGAAATCCCTATGAAACCCCCAGAAGCTTCTCTGCCGAGCATGCCCGGCGTCCTGACTTCTGCCGCCATGCATTCATTCTCAGGTTCCTGGGTTTTATGTTGGTTTTTTAAAAAACTACTTGCTATTTTGACTAACTTCCCTTGTTATAGTTTTCCATGGACTCGGGTTTTCCAGGCAGTCCTATTAATATAAACAGTAAAGAGAGTTTTATTTTTCCTTTTTCAATGTTTACGTCTCCAGTTGCTTCTGTGTCTAACTGCACTGGCCAGCACTGCCAACAGGAAGTGAAATAATAGGGAATCGTTGGCTGTCTTCTCTTGATCCTGTCTTTGGTGGCAAAACCTCCACTGTTTGCCTATTAAGATGCTGTCTTTCAGGCGAAAATGTTCAACCCCTTTCACAGAGGAAGATACCAAGGGTCTGAGAGGTGAAACGGTCCCCAAGGTAGGGTGTGATGGAAGCAAGGGCCTGATATGTGCCCTGATGTCACTGCTACAGGAGATTGTCAACTTCAACTGCCGGAAGCTGGTGGCCTCCATGCCACTGTTTGCCAACGCCGACCCCAACTTTGTCACAGCCATGCTGACCAAACTCAAGTTCGAGGTCTTCCAGCCGGGGGACTACATCATCCGCGAGGGCACCGTCGGCAAGAAGATGTACTTCATCCAGCACGGTGTGGTCAGCGTGCTCACCAAGGGCAACAAGGAGATGAAGCTGTCCGACGGCTCCTACTTCGGGGGTGAGCGGCTGCAGGGACAGGGTGCAGGGCAGGGGCGGGGATCACGGGGGAGGGAAGGCCTTGCAGCTGAGGACGCCACCCGTGGCCTCACACAGAGATCTGCCTGCTGACGCGGGGTCGGCGCACTGCGAGCGTGCGGGCGGACACGTACTGCCGCCTCTACTCGCTGAGCGTGGACAACTTCAACGAGGTGCTGGAGGAGTACCCCATGATGCGGCGGGCCTTCGAGACTGTAGCCATCGACCGCCTGGACCGCATCGGTGAGTGGGCGCAGCGGCCGAAAAGGGAGGCGGCATGGCCCTGCTGATCCTCAGGGCCCCTTCCGGTCCCCAGACCAGATTCTCTGACCCACGCTCTCCCTGGGCCAAGCACACCCCACTCCCCAGGGCAGAGGGAGCGTAGAGTGTTTCCAGTTGTGCCGAATGTCTCACTCAGCAAGTATCTGAGCATCTGGTGCCAGGAGATGCAGCTGGTGGATGAGGCTGACAGGGTGGAGGGGCTTCCCTGTGATTCTAAGTGGAAACCCAGGTGAGCAGGTGTTGCCAGCAGAAAGGGAGAGGGCATCTGCTAGGAGTGGATACAGCATGTGCAAAAGCCCTCAGCTGGGAAAGAGGCCTGGAGTCCAGGGAGTCAGGGAAGCTGGGAGGAAGGGCAGAAGAGGCCGACAGGCTTTGGGGGAGGAGTCTAGACTGTACATAAGAAGCAAAAGGGAGTCATGGGTGATTCTAGCAAGAGGGGGCCTGATCAGGTTTGCCTCCCACAAGGGTGGGTAGCATACATGGGGATTCAGCGGCCTGGCCTGTGTGGAGGGTTCAGGGAGAGGCGAGGGGGAGTCTCAGAAATGGTTGTGACGCAGGCTCCAGGACTTGCTGATGACTAGATGGAGGAGTCAGGGAGATGGAGGCCCTTGGTGCCGCTTGTGAGAATAAAGACAGTGAGTAGAAAAGCAAGACTCGGGGTGGGGGGCAGAGAGGAGCGCTGTCGGAAGGAAGCCGTCCCAGGACACAGGAAGCACTCCACACGTTCATGCACAACAGGCACTTTAGGTGTGCTGCATACAGCAGGTTCTCAGCGTGTCTGTGAGCAGCAAGCGCTGGGATGCACTTGCTGTGTGCGTGGCAGGCACGCAGCGTGTGGCTGTGCACCACTCCGGGCGTGCTCTGTACCCGCGGATGCTCAGTACCACAAGCTCACTGCGCACAGGAGGTACAGCGCGTGCTTGCTGTATAGAGCGCCTGATACCTGCGCTGTGCCCACAGGAGGCACATAATGTGTGCCGAGTGTATACAGGAAGCGTTCCATGCGTGCTGGTGGTATGCAGGTGTCTCGTGCCAGTTTTGTGTGTGAAGCAGGCATTCAGTGCGCTTGTGACACAAAGGCGCTTGATTCAACTCCAGCTTCCTATTCGCCCGTCTGCCACATGCAGCAGGGGCTCTGTGCTCAGCAGGCACTCAGACACTTGTGTCCTGTAGGCAAAGGGGCTGCTCCTGTTCCAAAAGCAGGAGCCTGCAGGCAGGCACCTCTGACACCCTGCCCCCTTCCCCAGGCAAGAAGAACTCGATTCTTCTGCACAAGGTGCAGCACGACCTCAAC